TCCTGTCTGTTGAGCCAGAGCACGTACAAGAAGTTCATTATTTCTTGCGCATTTTGAACTAATTCATGAGTACGCTTTTTTGGCCGACCACTTCCTTCTTTTCGCGTTTCTGCCGGTTTCCCGAAACAGTTTCAAAGAACGATGTAGCGAACATCTAAAGGTGTTGTAATCAACAACGCCGGGAAACTCATTTTGAAATTCGTCCCAGCAGTCGGCTAAAAAGTACTACCACTACCCTTCAATTTTTCGCCCATTGCGAAAATAAAATTCTATTATGAAAATCCTCTGTCCGGAAGTGAAAACCATTGTGTGTTAAATGCAACGACACTAATGAAATAAGTTCTTGATAGTTAAAATAATGTAATCAAACTGCGCCTCACGTTCATATTTCCAAAACCAACTTGACGGTATTTTTATTTGAACGCGTGCTTCTTGATATCTCATTAAAGAAATAGAAAAAAAAAGTTCAAGATGAAAGTTTTACGGCTATTTTTTTAAGAATTTATTTTTTTCAAATATAACATAAGTTTTTCCATATTGTAAAGGACCTCATTTTAGGCTTCACAACCACAAATTATTTCTGAAATTTCATCGCGACGTTGCCATGTTATTCCATTTTTTTTATATTTTAGCCTTTAACTGTTCACAAAAAATTGCAATAGGGTTACTATTAAAAGCTGTGTCACAATATTTTGTAGAAAGATAAATAAAAGTACACGCTTTGTTATGGTATGAATAAAATTGAGTCTTATTGTATAGTGTTAATAAAAAAAATATTATTACAATTTTCGAAAATCGATATTTCATTTTTTTTTGTTTTTGTTTTCTTTCTTTTTCGTTGAGTGTTTTTTATATTTAAGGTAGATAGTTACTAACATTCGCGCTCTGATTGATTATGATTTTCGTTGTGGTTTGACTCAAAAACAGTGCATGGAACGTTTCATTTCTGCATTTGATGATGAAGCCCAATCCAAGACAACGATATATCGCTGGTTTCAAGAGTTCTAATTTGGTCGTACGTCACTTCAAGATGAACCAAGAAAAGGTCGTCCTACAACATCTGTTGTTGCAGAAAATATTAATGCTGTAAGGCAACTGATCCAAGAAGACCGGCATGTAACACATGATGAGATTCCAATTGCAGCTTTGCACATTTCTCAGACCTGATGCGTTCCATTTTGCATACGCACTTGGCGGTTTTTTCTATATGGATACCCCATAATTTGTTCACTGATTAAAAAGAAGCCCGTGTCAAATGGTGCAAAACAATGGTGAAAAAATTCAATCAGGGATCTTCTAAGCATGTGTAAGATATCATTTTAGGTGATGATTCTTACGAACCGGAAACAAAGCAACAATCCACAGTATGGGTATTTTAAAATGAACTTTTGCCAACGAAAGTTGTTTGATCACGAAGCACTTCTAAATAAATGGTTGCATGTTTCATAGCCAAATCTGGTCATGTTGTCACAATTGCTTTGGAAGATCCTCGTACAGTAAATGCGGACTGGAGTACAACAATTTTCTTGCCCGAAGTCATTGATGAGTGGCGTAAAAACAACAGCAAACGTGCATTCATTCTGCATCATGATAACGTTACGCCGCATATAGCTCGTGTAAGAGTCGACTATTTACAGAATAAAGGCATCGAATTACTGAGTCATCCTGCTCATAGTCCTGATTTGTCTCCAAACCACTTTTTTACGTTTCGCATAATCAAAAATAAAATGCGTGGCCTCATTTTTCGTGCCCTGAAGACGCCATTGAATAGCCAACTTCAGAATGGAACAAATGTTTCAGTGATTGGTTTGAACATATGAAAAAGTGCATACGTAACGGTGAAAATTTCGAAAAACAATAAATTCATTTGTTTCCTCTAAAATGCTTTCTTCATAACTTTTCCCGAAATTATTCGTCTAGCCCTTACTTACTTGGAAATTATCGACGAGGTCTAATGGATAAATCACTTTATTAGTGTGCGGCAGTCAAAGATTGCGAATACTATCTTTGCTTTCAACTAAAACAAACTTTCAGGTAGAAATGTTTCCAAGTTTTATTAATTTGAAATATTAAACCTTTATGAAAATTGTGAGCTTAATTTAGAGGTTGGTGCCTTATCTCTGTTTAACTCCATCGTCTTAAAAATAGAAGATGCACGAGATGTTATTCTGTTATAAAGTAGCGCAATTCTGTCCAAATCAACCATTTATCAACAAAATGAGATAGGTTATATTTATTTCGAGATATTGATAAAATATTTAATTGAAACTTTTTTGTAGTTTAATAACTGGTTGTAGCTTAGTATAAAAACATGGTTGATAAACTGATATTTATGAGTAAAATACGTTTAAGGACAACCTGGAAGGGGTTGAGAGAATGCAAAAAAAAGAAACGTCATAAATGCAGAGAAAAAATAAAGCTATTTGCAGAATGCACAACAGAAACAGTAGTTGTTTACATTAACACATACAAAAGTGATAGATATAAAAGTCCTACATTAAGCTGTGTAATTTTAAACAGGCTGCAGAATGTTTTAATTTAAGTGTTACTGACATCAAAGTTTACCAGAATAAATGCGAAATTTTAAATATTAATATTATTAACTGTAGTCTGATAATAAATAGATTAAATTTTATCGGGCTACGCATTTAATGCTGGCATGCAAGCGATATAGTTTTCATTAAAACACTTTTTGTACAATAAATACCACTTTATTTTTTAATGTTTTTCGTTTCCTTATGACAGTTATAGGTATCTGCATATTTAAAGTGATCATGAATTTTAAACCTGAAGCGTTATTAATTATTAATTATATTTATTATAAATTCGGTTAAATTTTTGTGCACTATAAACAAACAATACATCTTAAAACAACACAGTTGCTAAAACTTAAAGATTCTGCATTTGTAGCAGGAATTAATTTCGCTACATTTTCAAGACAGTCAGGGTGAATAAGATTTAATTTTTGGGTTGATTTACAACGGCTAACCTAATTAAAATGAATTCAGTTGGCGCGTAAATGTAAGTATTTTTTTAATTAAGTAAACTTTAAAATTTATGGCGCTGTTATAATACATAATCGTACAACTAATTATCAGGCTTTTTGCTGTAAAACAGAGAGGGTTTTTTCTCAAATGATCGATGAAATTATCTGAACGAATTTCATCAGAAAAAAATGCTATTAAGTATACTCCACATAGCATTTTCATTTTGAATGGAAAAGAAAATAACGTTTGTCTTTTAAATGAAACTTTTCATAAAAAATAGATATTTTCAAGAGTTTATTATTTTTTTTATTACATGATTTTTTTGTAATAATGCTCGCAAATTTACTGCCATGTAAACAGTTTATTAAGAGAAAAAAGTGATCAATCAGTATCATCATTATCGACAAAATTTTCAATATACTCATTGTGTTGTTTAATTAGCAGTAAAAAGCTAATTATTCGACCGAGGAAATTTTCAAAGAAAATTTAAAAAGTTGTTAGTGCGAATAGTTTATTTATTAGTAGTAAATTCTCTAATATTCTCTAATATAAAACTAAAGCAAGAACCCACATTCGTAGGTTTTTTTAAATTCATACGTTTCAAATTCGAATTAAAGTTTTTTATAATATCCTGCATTTAATGTTTTTACTCACTAAATTATATCCCGTGTCCTAATTCTACTACTAACCCTCGACTCCCCTGCAAGAAATTAGCATATCGCTGTCCAAATGCATATAACTTTTTGATGACTTACTTTCATTTGGCACATAATTTAAATAAAATTGCTTTATACGGAAAATCCTTAAAAATGAAAAAAACTAAATAAAAAATTTAAAGATCAACAAAACTGCAAAATAAGAGTCTTTAAATTTCTTACATTTGAAAAAAAATTAAGTTTCAATTTGAACGAATGGTGGATGCGCCGGGCAAAAATCAGCATAAATGCAAATGTTATAAATAATGTTACCGAGTTAAATGTAATCTTAAATTGCTAAGTGCCAGTAAATAGACAGTAGCAGACAATTTTTGATTATTGCTTTTTCTTAATGAAAGTATTGTTATAAATTATTTGGGTTTATTTATAAAAATACGTTTTACGTAAAATATCGTCAATGATTAATTTTTAATTGAAACTATAGTTTTTTATTATCCACACATTTTATTTACTTATTTTTCTTAAAGAAAATGGACATACTTATATCATAACATGAAAAATGTAAATAAAAAAATTCTATCTAGTTTTTCTCTTGTTTTAAAGAAAGTATGTAATGCGAAATTAGGGTTTGGATTAAAAAGGGAATAACATCATATTGACTGACGCGATCAGTTAAAAATATTCCAAGTCGCTTCTAAAATGTGAAAAGTAAATCGATTGTTTGGTGTTTCGCGAAATTTCACTCTTGAATTTTTTATCGAGTTTGTTCCAGATACGTTGTACATCACCTTAATTAAATAAAATAAAGAGCTACATATTTCTTTCTTAGAATTTCGCTGTACACATTTTGTTTTAGATGAAAGTTTGTTTTTAGATTATCCAACACTTTGCGTGTTCAGAGTTTTACAAGTTTGGTTGGAGCAAACTGAGTTACCCGTTGAATCCATTCACGGAATAGGTACATTAAAATATCGATTTATTCAAAACTGCATAACCTTATTTTTACTCTGCTTAAGTGAACGAGTGCTTTTTGAGATAAATTTTTAATGAAGCTTTTGAATGCTTAGCGTAAAAAATAAAATATTTGTTTTACTGCTATAAACTTTAGCTCGGAAAATCTGAACTACGCAAAGCTTATCTTTATGTCAACACGACACCAACTGATGTTGGTCGAAGCAAAACACATTAAAATTTTATATTTCTTTTCTTATCCAAATAAATAAGGAAAGAGTAATTTGTTTCTAGTAAATTCTTAGGCGCATAACAATTCAATGTTATTTTGTTCATGAAAATCTTTTGTGTGAATTAATAATATTGGGAAAGTTTCCACACTTTGTGTGCTTATTTAGATTGTCACCTGTTTATTGTCCCATCGTTTATATTCCTTCCATTCACTTAATCCAGGCCTCCAATACTCGACTGTGTACTCTTCAGCATATTCTTGACCTCGACCTCTATCGTATCTTCCTTGAGTTTGTACTCCTGTGACTACGTAAACCTCTCCTAAATCTACTTGTAGATATTCTCTAATTCCTCTTTCCACTTGTTGTTTTGGACACCATCCTCCCCCTGCTTTCTCTACGCGAAGCCTGAAAAAGATTAATGATAAATCAATGAATACGCCCTTTAAAAATTAAAGGTAAAATAACAGATAAATTCTAAGTTTTAATACTTCTTGCGTGACAATTCTTGTGACAAGTAAAGTTAGACAGAATTGCAGGAACAATTACAGTCTAGTTACCTAATTACTGCTATGTATAATTCAAGAAGGAATTTGCTATTGCAGTGGGAAAAATAATTCACTGGCTTGTTAAATTATATAAGTATATTCAATTGTCGAATATATTTTTGTGAAAAATGGTTTAAAGGGAAATTTTATTTTTAATTTATTTTAATTTCCGGTTAAAGAAAAAATTTAGGTCATCTGCAGTATGTACTTTAACATTGCAATATAATTATTATTATTCTGATATTACGTATTTTGTGGGTTTTTAATTAATATAATGTGACCGATATCCTGCATAATGCAACAAGTGTTGTTAAAATTATAATCAATAAAACTGGTTTAAAGTTATTTAGATAGAACTTCCCTAGTCACTGAAGCCCAGTCAAACAAATACAGTTTGGTGAACAAATTATAGAAGATGGCTCTGTAAATCAGTGTCCCAATTAAAACATCGCGGCCTTAGATCTTCAGAACGGATAGAAATATATGGATTCTGCAAAAGCTATTATTTTTATCTTGCAGGAGAAAGTTTAATTTAGTACATTGTAAATATGACGCATCCCTATATTTTTACTTCCCGCGTGTAAGCTAAAGAAGTATTGTAGTAGGGTCTATCCGACTAGTTGCTACTTTCATGTTTTTTCAATATTTCATTACCCCTATAGTACGAAAGCATAGGTTCCTGTTTCCGTCTTTTTTTCTGCCGTTTGTCAAGAACTTTATTAGACAGATAATTTCCGGACTGCCGGACCGATTGTTGTTAAATTTTGTATGTATTTTTTTTTTAATTACAATAGTAAATGTTTTTAAGATTTTATAGAATAACATAACCCTGTACTTATAGTTTACGAATCTGTGTTTTTACCCTAGTTATTAAGATTTTTGGGTTTAATGATGTCATCATAAACTGTTGCCGAATAAACATTATTTAAATTCTATAAAATAACATACTCGTGAACTTGTGATTTATCAATCCAAGTTAAATTTTTATCCTTGATATCCAGATGTTTTGAAAAGAAGTAAAAATTATTTTTGGTGTCCCGATCTGTAAAGAACTCATTCATGAGTGATGTACCCGGTAACTACGATTTTACAGTCATTCATTGATTTACCACATCGCGGTGCGGTAAAACAACTCGAAATTTTTTATGTTTAAAAGACTTTTAAAAAATAAATTGTTCTACAATCAAGATAATATGAGATACAGAATATTTGAGAATCGAAGAAAATTTTAGTTAGAAAAGCGAAATGTCAACAAAATAATTTGACGTTCTTCTTTCGTTTCATGTTTTAACGAAACGTCTACTGTAAAATTGTTGAAAGCAGCGTACTCGATACCGAGTTACAATTTTGTAGGTTTTGAATTTGAAAGATTAGTATAAGTATAAAAATAGATCGGACAAAAAATTTAATACATTATTTGTGCGTTAGGGCATTTTACAGGGCTCGGTTTTATTAAAGGACTCCGCTGCGCTTCAAAATAAAACCTCGCCTGTAAAATGTCACCTACCGCACTCATAATGTAAATAACTAATAACATTTTTTGTACGACCATTGCTTTTTCGATCATTTACCGTACAGGTTTCCATAGCAGTAAGTTCAGTTTACGGGTTGCTAACAACCAAGAGGTGAACGGTAAGCAAATTACTCACTCTTCAGCTGAACGGTAAGTAATCATGCATCCAAGATTTTTTTTATTTTAAATTCCATGCTTGTTCGACTTTGATATTTTCGCTTTCAGTTATTTTATGTTATTTACAATTTACCCTTCTTATAAGAAAAAAAAAAAAGAAAAAAACAAAAAGAAAATTAATACATAATGAAATGTAACTATATAATTTGAAAATATAGAATATAGATTTATAACAATAACTTTGGTACAAACTCAATTATTTGATAGGAAGTAAAATTTAAGTAATTTTCGAAGAGTAGGTGAAGGCTTATATTTAACTGAAATTTGTATGTAAATGTAAAGAGTGCCGCAGGGAAGTCATGTGCTAGAGACGTATATAAGTTGGAACCGATGTCGATAATATAGAACGAACAAAGATAATAAACACTTGAACCAAATATCTAGTTTCAACCATTTATGTTCTTTTATTTTTGAGGAGACGTGTTGACAATTTCTTATCTACAGCAAGTGTTTTGATTTTTTGGTAAAATTTTTTTCTGAAACCTAATTTATTAAGACTAGAATAATAAACTATTATATACTATAAAAGAATAGTTCAGTTTTTGATAAAATCAAATTTTCACAAAGGTTTTTCTGAGTTTGATATTTGTAATCTGGTAATTTTGATAAAGAAGTCATAAATTCCGTACATTTTTTTGGGAGAAACCTGTGTTTTGAAACGCAGATGATGATCAAATATGGTCCCGCAAAAATGGTGAATATTAGTTCTAATATCATATTATTAATTTTAATATCAATACATAACTTTACTTCTGATTCAGACTTTAAAGTAGAGTTAAATTATTTTACATTTATGCAGATTGAGTGCTAAATTATGTTGTAATGTACTTTTAGAAAGACAAAATATAAAGTTTTTAAGACTAAAAGAAAAGTTAAAAAAATAAAGAAGATATAAACGATTAATACGGGGCCTAGAATGCAGCCTTGAGGCACTCTTGATGTAACTAAACCAGGATGAGGTAGTTGGTTTTTATAAAAATCTTTTTGCGAGCGATAACTTAAATATGCTTAAAACAAATTTATATTGTTTTTGTGCAAAATCTAAGTGGGCTAGTTTTACACAAAGTAATTTTAATGGTCAACAGTGTCAAATGTCTTAGACTGCTGTGTCTAGCAGGCATTGAATTATCTAGCAAAAAGAAGTGACATACTGTATTTTTTCTGAAACCTGATTGTGCGGTAATATATGTCGATTATTATTAATGTATTCATAGCTTTGAGCGTAATTAATTTTTTCTTTTGATTTGTAGGAATTAAACTGGTGAGTTCTAACTAACTACTTCAATAATTTGAATAATTTATTTTTTGCAGCGGAATAATAACTACAGTTTTCCATTGAAGGGCAAAATAACCAGGTTCTCAAGTTAATGATAAACATGTGTAGGTACTTTGAAATCAACGGGCATAAAAGCTTTAACATTTTAGCATTTATTTCATCATTTCCGAAAGGGTTGAACTTTAAATTTGATATAATAATTTGAATTTCACTGATTGACGGTAGATAAAAGAAAAAAATTACGCCGATTTTCTTCTTCCCTGTTGGTTTCCGCTACTAGACTTCGAAATTGCTTATATGATTCGCAATCAACCGCGTTTTTAGATCGTTTAAAATTGATTTCGTAGAGGCATGATATATCTGATAATGCGGTTAACTATATATATAAAAAATTGAACTTTCTGATTTAAATCATTTATACCATGTGATTTTTTAATTTTTACTTTAGATAGCTATAATGTTTATGACAACCATTTCAATTTCACTACTCACGTAAACGTCGTGGTTAACTAGAAGAGATTTTAAAAAATCATCTGAGATAAAATATGTCGTCCCATTTTATAGTTTCTAGATCTTGGAGAAAGTACCTTGTAAAAGAAAATGAGAAATCTCTCGTCCATAATCAGTAAAATAAATGGACTCAGTCATTATTTTTTTCACACACCCCGTATAAGCAAATCTAAAAAATATTTATGCAGTGATAAATCACAATTATAGACTCATCATACTTTGCACAGTGCACATTTAAGATAGCATTTTTTCGGAAAAATTTTGGGGTGGCGTGATCAGTTTTTAAGGGGGGTATGAGGCAATATATTTTCATAAAAAATTTACCATGCCTTTGATGACTTTAACACATCTCCAAGATTTCAAAGCATTTGGTTTTGTAGTTCCTGATTAAACCAATAAAATAAATTTACGCATTCATTAATTTTTTCGAGTCACCCTGTATATGCACATCTAAAAAATATAAATGGAATGATAAATCACAAGTATTGTCTCATCATACTTTGCACATTTTAGATAGGATTTATTCGGCAAACTTTTGGGGTGACGTCATCATTTTTTGGAGGGGACAAGTAAATATATTTTGAATAAAACTTATCATGCTTATCATAACTGTAAACCATCTGCAAGATTTCGAAGCATTCGGTTTTGCAGATTTCAAATTAAATGTCAAAATGTTGTGTCCTAATTTTGATTTTTTTTCCAAAAATCTGGACGTTTCGGGTAAAATCTCAATTCGGAGTCATAAACTACATGTGTAAGACTATGTTATTTTATACAATTTAAAACCCATTTACTATGTACAATTTTGAAGTGACGTAATCACATTAGTGGTGGGGATGATTAGACAAATTTTGGTTAGCTTTTTCCATCTACATGATATACCTAATATAAATACAAAATTTGACAACAATCGGCCCAGTACTTTCGGAGATTATCTGTTATCCGGGACAGCAGACAGACGGACACACAGACGGACAGACGGACAGACAGACGGAAAGAGGAGACCTATCACTTTGTCCTCTAGGGGTCATGATAGGTCGAGAAAATGCAAAAGTAGAGAGTTGGCCGACGGACTCGATTACAATACTTCCTTTGCTTACGCTCGGGAAGTAATAAATGTTGAAAATGTTGTCCTTGGCAATACAGGCTTCAGAACGTTTAAAGCATTACCATGTCGATATACTCTGAATTGGAAAAATGCCACCATTGTCAAAGACGTTAACCGAGCATACGACGGCAACCAGTTGATACATGACTGGCCTTCATCGTGTTTTTGCATGTTGCTTATCAGTGAGGCGCTTTTTTTGGTTGTTAATCCTAGTCGTTCTGTGCCATGCATTGAATAGTACGAGTAGTTATGGTAGTTGAAGAAACACTACCAGTG